TACTTCATCCTCCTTCTCCTCCTCCTCCTCTTCTTCCTCCTTCTCCTTCTACTCCTCCTCCTCTTCTTCCTCCTACTCCTTCTACTCCTTCTCCTCCTCCTCATTCCACTCTTTCTCCTTCCACTCCTCCTCCTCTTCCTTTCCCTCTCTTTCCCTCTTCTCCTTTTTCCCTCATCTTCTCCTCCGTCCCCTCACCCCTTCTCCTTTCCCTTATCCCCATCTTCCCCTTTCCCCTCTTCTCCTTTCCCCTTCTTCCCTTCTTCCTCTCTCGTCTCCCCTCACTCCCTCCCCTTCCCCTTGCTCTTGTTATTCAGCAGCCCTCCTCTTCTATGTGTCACATTTCTCCTGCTCTTGTTCCTTATCTTTCCCCTCTCCTCCTACAAATCCTTCGGTATCTTTCCACTTCCCTCTCTATCCTTTCCCAGCCATCTTTACCATCTCCGCCTTTCCCTTCCTTTTATCAGAATCTCTTCCCTTCCTTCTCTCTATCAAATTCTCCCTTTCCTTCCCTTCCCCCTTTCCATCTTAGCCTTCCCTCCTTTCTCCTTTGTCACATCCTTTCAATTCTTCCCTTTATCACGTTCTCCTCCCTTTCTTCCTTTCCCTTTATCACATCCTCCCTTCCCTTCCCTTTTCCCTTTCCCTCCTAGCTTTCCTTCCTTTTCCTTTATCACAGCCTCCTTTCCCTCCTTTCCTTTTATCACAATCTCCTTCCTGTCCTTCCTTTTATCATGTTCTTCTCCCTTCCCTTCCCTTCCCCTTCGCTTTATCAAATTCTCTCCATCCTTCCCTTCCCCCTTTCCCCCTCAGCCTTCCTTCCGTCAGCCTGCTGGAATGAGTCACACAGGAATACCCTGGCAGGCTGCCAGATTTCGCCTCCTCCTCCTTTTAATACATCCAGACCACGTTGAACTCCGCCAGACTACAGCCAGACTACAGCTAGACTACGGCCAAACTACACTCACACTACAGCCAGACTACAGTTCTCATGCCGTCTGACGCTGCTAGATTTTAGTCACCTTACCATGTAATGCTGATAGGCTCTAGGCTACCGACATACATTAAGCTTTAGATAATACACACGTCGTCTGGCTCTGGAAAGCACATTATTTTGCGTTGGCTGGTTTTAGCAGACGCGTTCGTTACGTCGCTCGGTTTTAGAAAACATATCTTTTACTTCGTATGGATTTAGAGAAATTGTTCGTTACGTCATTTGGTTCTAGATAAAATGTGTATTACTTAAAAAAAAAAAAACATATTTTTTACTTCGTCTGGATTTAGAAAACATGTTCGTTACGTCACTTAGTTTTTTGAAAACATGTTCGTTACGTCACTTGGTATTAGAAAACATCTTTTGCCGACGTATGGATTCAGAAAAACACTAAAGAAATACATCACGTAGCTTGGCTTTAGAAAACATACATTACCTCTTCTGGCTTTTGTTGGCTCACCGAAGGACAACACTGAACTCTACTATGATAAGTAACGTTACTGGAATTAGCGGGGCGTGTTTGTTCAAGCAGTCTCTGAACTCACAACTTTGTTTTAAAGCTATTTTCAATTCAAATTAAACCCACACAGTTTAAACATCACGAGAGAGAGAGAGAGAGAGAGAGAGAGAGAGAGAGAGAGAGAGAGAGAGAAAGAGAGAGTGAGTTAGGGAGCAGGGGAAAGGAGATAAGGGAGAGAGAGAGGAGGAAAAGAGAGAGAAAGAGGAGAGAGTGAGTGAGAGAGAGAAAGTGAGAGAGGGAGAGAGAGAGAGAGAGAGAGAGAGAGAGAGAGAAACAGAGAGCAAACTAGATAAAACTTCGTCCCACTCTGAAGATCTTAAAAAAAAGGGAGAATATTCGAAAAAATAGACAACTAAATTTTAAAAAGAGCAAAAAAAAAAAAAAAAAAAAAAAAACGAAAGAAAAATAACACGTACCCAGAACAGTGTCATTAGCAACGATCCTAGGACCCTTATTCCGTGGGAGAGCTCCGTGGAAAAGGCGTGAAAGAGCCTGGGAGAATTTTCACAGAAGATTAGTGTGTCTGCAGGCCCTTCTGGAGGCAGAGGTCATAGGGTTTATGTTGTGTGTGGGCGTGAGAGTGTGAGGGCGTGAGAGTGTGAGGGGGTGAGGACGTGAGAGCGTGAGGAAGTGAGGGCGTGAAAGTGTGAGGAGGTGAGGTGGTTAAGGCGTGAGAGGGTGAGAGGGTGAGAGTGTGAGGGCGTGAGAGTGTGAGGGAGTGAGGAGGTGGGCTTAGGGAGTTCCATGAGGTGAGCGGGAGAGGCGTGGATACTGAGGGAGAGTGGGTGAGAAGGGAAGAGAAAGAAGGTATGAGAGAATAGGGAAGGTAAGAGAGAGAAAGGGAGGAGCAAAAGAAAGAGGGAAGGAAAAAGAGAAAGAAAGGTGAAAAAGAAAGAGAGGAGGAGAAAGAGAAAGAGAGAAGGAGAGAAAGAGAGAGAGGCAGAGAGAAGGAGAAAGAAAAAAAGAGAATGAGAGAAAGAGAGTGAGACAGAGAGAAGGAGAAAGAGAGAGAGACAGAGAGAGGAAGAGAGGAAACAGAGAGCGAGATAAAAAGAACGAAAATGTAGGAAGCCTCAGAGCCGAAAATCAGTAGCGATTGCCGAGATTGCAAAAGATGGCAATAAAGATAGGGAAATACGGCCATGCATACGTCCATAAAAGACCCCAACACACACACATATGTGAGTATGTGTCTATATCTATGTCTGTATCTAGCTGTCTATCAATGTATCTATCTGTCCATCTACCTATCTATACATACACACATATGCATATTCACACACACACATATATTATGTATATATATGTATATATATATATATATATATATATATATATATATATATATATATATATATGTGTGTGTGTGTGTGTGTGTGTGTGTGTGTGTGTGTATACATATATGCATATATATATACATATATATATATATATATATATATATATATATATATATATATATATATATATTTATATATATAAATACAAATATAAGTATATATATATATAAATACAAATATAAGTATATATATATATATATATATATATATATATATATATTCATATATATATATATATATATATATATATATATATATATATATATATATACATATTCATATATATATGTATATATATATATATATATATATATATATATATATATATATATGAATATATATATACATATATATATATATATATATATATATATATATATATATATATATATATATTCATATATATATATATATATATATATATATATATATATATATATTCATATATATATATATATATATATATATATATATATATATATTCATATATATATATATATATATATATATTCATATATATATATATATATATATATATATATATATATTCATATATATATATATATATATATATATATATATATATTCATATATGTATATATATATATATATATATATATATATATATATATTCATATATATATATATATATATATATATATATATATATATATATATTCATATATATATATATATATATATATATATATATATATTCATATATATATATATATATATATATATATATATATATATATATATATATTCATATATATATATATACATATATATATATATATATATATATATATATATATATATATGAATATATATATATATATATATATATATATATATATATATATATGAATATATATATATATATATATATATATATATATGAATATATATATATATATATATATATATATATATATATATTCATATATATATATATATATATATATATATATATGAATATATATATATACATATATATATATATATATATATATATATATATATATATATATACATATATATATATATATATTCTGATGTAAAACCTACGACCCGAGGACCTCACTGTCACCGTCCCAGCTTGCTAGGCTATGGCAGATGAACCACGGGTGTAAAGGGTGGGGCCAGTACTGCGCACACTGCACTCCACCTAAAAACTCCATTGCGCAGGCTCGAAGGACATGTCCACGTCCGCGATGCCAACAACTATTCCAAGCCCTGCAGCGATGGGAAAGGGGCGAAAACGGCAGGTGAAAGATGTCACTGGAAGCCGCAGTTCCAATCCTGCATAAAGGCGGTTCAGGATATTGGTCGTCTGATGTTGACCTGAGAGGACAGCATCACCCGGCAACACCCTGAACGACCAAGCAGCCCTCTTCAGGGACAGCACTGCTTGCTCCACACGGAGAGGGGCCTAGAAAAGGTGGCCTAGAAAAAGCTCGTCTCACATCCCCCATTTGGCTCGCCGCGGCCAACGGGCATCTTCTCAAGCGGTCGAACAACACCAAAGCAAGGAAGGTACGCACCCACCTCCAAGGGTGCAAAAGCACTGAAAATAGCCTGTTGGAATGTCAGGACCATGCTCGACGCAGTTGACAGTAACCGACCAGAACGTCGCTCTGCTCTGATAGCACACGAACTGTCTAGGTTGGATGTCGACATTGCTGCCCTTAGCGAGGTCCGATTCCCAGGTGTAGGCAGCCTCCAGGAGCATGGCGCCGGTTACACCCTCTTCTGGTCAGGGAAACCTGCAACAGAAAGGCGCCTCTCAGGCGTTAGCTTCATGATCAGGACCTCCATCGCCTCCAAGCTGGAAAACCTGCCAACCGGTCACTCCGACCGCATCATGTCCATGCGCCTCCCTCTGAAGAACGAACAGTATGCCACGCTCTTCAGTGTGTACGCCCCGACTCTCCAAGCTGAACCTGCAGATGACAAGGTAATAATCCTTGGTGATTTCAACGCTAGAGTGGGTCAAGATGTAGATGCCTGGAAAGGAGTTCTTGGCTGACACGGCGTTGGAAACTGCAATGACAATGGGCGCTTGCTGTTGGAGTATTGCACTGAGCAACAACTGGTCATCACCAACACCATCTTCCAGCAAAAGGACAGATTAAAAACAACCTGGATGCATCCTCGGTCCAAACATTGGCACCTCATAGATTACATCCTAGTGCGCCAAAAAGACCTCAAGGATGTCCTTCACACCAGAGTGATGCCCAGTGCAGAATGTCGCACGGACCATCGACTAGTGCGTTGCCAACTCAGGATGCACCTCACACCCAAACCAAGGAAGGGAGGGCCCTCCACTAAAAAGTTCGATCTCAAGAAGCTTCAGTCAGCTGAAGTGAAAGCTGACTTTCAGGCAGGCCTACAGTCCAAGCTTGAGATCGTTGACTACCCAGAAGACCCCTCACCTGAAACACTCTGGGATCAACTGAAGACTGCCATCCTGCAAACCTCCGAAGAAGTTCTGGGGTTTACCACCAAGAGGAACAAAGACTGGTTCGATGAGAACAACCAAGAGATCCAGGAACTGCTGACAAAGAAGAGGTCATCCCATCAGGCCCACCTGGCACAGCCGTCATGTCCTGTGAAGAAAGCTGCCTTCCGTCTCATTTGCAGCAACCTCCAGCACAAGCTTCGAGAGATCCAGAACAAGTGGTGGACTAACCTCGCAGAGAAAACCCAGCTTTGCGCAGACACTGGTGACTACAGAGGCTTCTATGAAGCCTTAAAGGCAGTATATGGTCCTACTCACCACGTCCAGAGTCCTTTGTGCAATGCAGACGGACAGGCGCTCTTCACAGACAAGACTTCCATCCTGAACCGTTGGTCCCAGCACTTTCAGGCCCTCTTCAGCGCTGACCGCGTCGTCCAGGACTCAGCAGTTCTCCGCATTCCTCAGAAGCCAGTCATAGTGGAACTGGATGAACTACCATTTATGGAAGAAGTTTCAAAAGCCATAGAGCAGCTGAAGAGTGGCAAGGCAGCAGGAGTCGATAGGATACCACCAGAGATCTGGAAAGATGGGGGACCAACACTACACAGCAAGCTCCACGAACTCCTTGTCTGTTGTTGGGAGCAGAGCAAGCTTCCAAGAGACCTCCGTGATGCAGTCATCATCACTTTGTACAAGAACAAAGGAGAAAAGTCGGACTGCTCCAACTACCGGGGTATAACAATGCTCTCTATTGCGGGAAAAATCCTCGCCCGAGTGCTTCTGAACAGATTGGTACCCACCATCGCTGAAGACCACCACCCAGAAACCCAATGTGGATTCAGGACCAACAGGGGCACCACAGACATGGTGTTCGTCCTGAGGCAGCTCCAAGAGAAATACCGGGAGCAGAATAAAGGGCTGTACATGACGTTTGTGGACCTGACGAAAGCGTTTGACACTGTGAGCAGGAAGGGGCTATAGATGATAATGGAACGCCTTGGCTGCCCCCCAAAGTTCCTCAGCATGGTCATCCAACTGCATGACGATCAATGCGGCCAAGTCAGGTTGAACAGCGACCTCTCAGAGCCTTTCCCCATCGTCAATGGCGTGGAACAGGGTTGTGTCCTGGCACCTACTCTGTTCAGCATCTTCAGCATGATGCTCAAGCAGGCCACTGAAGACCTTGAAGATGACGAAGCTGTGTACATCTGCTATCGCCTTGACGGCAGTCTGTTCAACCTCAGGAGACTGCACGCCCACACAAAGACACTTGAGCAGCTGATCCGTGACCTCTTCGCTGACGATGCTGCCCTCGTTGTCCACACCGAAAGAGCCTTGCAGCGCCTAACGTCTTGCTTTGCAGCGGCTGCGCAGCTCTTCGGACTTGAGGTCAGTTTGAAGAAGACAGAGGTCCTCCACCAGCCTGCACCCCGGGAAGAGTACCGCCCTCTTCACATCACTATTGGCGAAACTGAGCTGAAAGCAGTTCACCAGTTCACCTACCTGGGGTGTACCATCACATCAGATGCCAAGATCGACAGAGAAGTGGACAACAGACTAGCCAGGGCAAACAGCGCTTTCGGCAGACTCTACAAGAGAGTCTGGAACAGCAGACAACTGACAAAGGGTACGAAGATCAGCGTCAACAGAGCCGTCGTACTCACCACCCTGCTGTACGGCTCCGAGTCCTGGGTAACATACTGTCACCACCTAAGACTCCTAGAGCGCCTCCACCAGCGCTGTCTCCGCACCATCCTCAACATCCATTGGAGTGACTACGTCACCAACGTTGAAGTTCTCGAACAGGCAGAGATCTCTAGCATTGAGGCTATGCTGCTGAAGTCACAGCTTCGCTGGGCAGGGCACGTCTCTAGAATGGAGGAACATCGCCTGCCAAAGATAGCCCTGTACGGCGAACTCTCCACAGGCCACCGTGACAGAGGTGCACCGAAAAACGCTACAAAGACTCCCTCAAGAAATCCCTCGGTGCTTGCCAAATTGACCACCGACAGTGGTCGACACTCGCTGCTGACCGCCAGGCCTGGCGCCACACCGTTCACCAGGCCGTCGCCTCCTTCGAGGACTCCCGCAGGTCTAACCTGAAGGAGAAACGCCGGACGAGGAAGGACAGGGAAGCCTCAGCAACTGTACCAGGCCAGACTTTTGACTGCAGTCGCTGCGGCCGGATATGCCTGTCTAGCGCGCCTGCAGTCGACGTGGACAGCCCCTTTCATGATCTTCGTTCGCGAAGCCAAGCCATGACTGACTATATATATATGTATATATATATATATATATATATATATATATATATATATATATATATATATATATTCATATATATATATATATATATATATATATATATATATATATATATATATATATATACATATATATATATATATATATATATATATATATATGTATATGTATATATGTTTATTACAAAGTTTATTATAGACTTCATTAACAATAAGTTATGATGCTTATAAAATTAAAAAGGTTGTTTTTATTGGAAATTACTAAGCCATGCGTATTAAGAGAATTCATCTATAAAATAATTTTATTAAGGCACACGCATATTATCAGATACATTTGCTATTTCTACTGATATATGAAAAAATATATACATTTATATATATATTACAGATAAAAAAATGTGTACTGAAGTAGTTTTAAGGTATTTTTTGCACATTTCATAATTGTTGTATTGAATGTAAGGATTCTGACACTGGACAATGCATCTCGCGTAGATGTCAACTTCAGAAAGAGGGAGAGAGAGAGAGAGAGAGAGAGAGAGAGAGGGAAAGAGAGAAACAGAAAGAGAGAAGGCAGGCAGACAGACATGCATAGATTAACAGAGAAAGAAAGAGAGAGGTGGGGGGGGGGGGGTAGAATCAGAGAGAGAGAGAGAGTTAGAGAGAAAAAGACAGATATAGACACAGAACCTGACAAAACCAAAACAGATGATGACACGTTAAGAAAAATCCTATTCAACCTTATAATGACATTCAAAATTAACCAAAACATTAACCTAAAGGATTCCGACTCTGATATCACGTAGTCATAAACACACGTAGAGATAAATTGCTGTTTTGCCGATGGATTACAATAATTGTTAATTAATCAGACTGTCTGTTAATCCCACTGAATTTGATGGAGCAATATGGAGAGAGAGAGATAGAGACCGACGGAGAGAGAGAGAGAAAGAGAGAGAGACAGAGAGACCGACAGACAGACAGAGTGAGAGGGAGGGAGAGAGAGAGAGAGAGGGAGGGAGAGAGAGAGAGAAAGAGAGAGAGACAGAGAGACAGACAGAGAGAGAGGGAGAGAGAGAGAGAGAGAGAGAGAGAGAGAGCGACAGAGAGAGAGAGAGAGAGAGAGAGACCGACGGAGAGAGAGACCGACAGAGAGAGAGAGAGAGAAAGAGAGAGAGACAGAGAGACCGACAGACAGACAGACAGAGAGGGAGGGAGAGAGAGAGAGAGAGAGGGAAAGAGAGAGAGAGAGAGAGAAGAGAGAGAGAGAGAGAGACCGACAGACAGAGAGAGAGAGAGAGAGAGAAGAGAGAGAGAGATTGATAGTGAGAGAGAGAGAGAGAGAGAGAGAGAGAAAGAGAAAAAAAGAGAGAGACTTTGACTCCGATATCACGTAGTCATAAACACACGCAGAGATATCCTGCTGTTTTACCGACGGATTACAATGAGTGTCAATTAATCGCACTCTCTTTTAATCCCACTGACTTTGATGGAACAATATGCAGGTACACCTACATATCTGCGCTCCGTGTTATTGCCTTGTTCACTGGCTACAATATCTACATAGAGCAAATATCGGCCCATTCATTACCGATCTTTGCATGACCAATTATTCCTATTAATGATATGCAAATTAGAAGCGATACACCTACATAATTGTATTATTTATAGGGCATCAGTTTCGCCGTGCTTGCGTATCGACATTGCAAATGAAGTTATTTGTCATCGTTATAATTAGGGGATATTAGTCATTTTTTTTCTAATGATAATCAACCTGGAAATCATCATGAAAAGCAGCCGTTTACGCGACCCTGATCTACCTCGTCGAAGGGAAAACCAACTCGGATTCAGTTAAGCTCTGCTATAGTGCTAAGTCTATTCTATAAAGCTAAAACTATTCTATAAAACTATTCTATTCCGTTCTATATATTCTATAAAATTCTATAAAGCTAAAGCTATTCTCCTAAAGCTAGTCTCTTGTTTCCGAAACGCGACCTGGAAGTAAATACCCAAAACAATAATGGAAATTCCCAGAAAAACACATTAACTGAAACGCGGCCCTGATATACCTCACCTAAGAGATTACCTGAATAATTTCTGAAAAGCGACCCGGTTATACCTCAGCTAAGGGATTACCTAAAACCGTGAAATCAATGCGATCAAATTTGAATAAAAGATTATATCCGAAATGCAACACTATATATATATATATATATATATATATATATATATATATATATATATATATATATATATATATATATATATGTATAAAGATATGTATATATATATTTATATATATATATATATATATATATATATATATATATATATATATATATATATGTATATATATATATATAAATATATATATATATATATATATATATATATATATATATATATATATATATATATATATAT